AGTAAGCACAAAATAAACTATTCAAAAACAAACTTTTTCAAAAAGTACCCCACAAATTTCCACTTTTTTACTGTATGTTTGGTAACAGAGGGCTTCAAAGACTATTAAGTCATTCGTACCCTCATTTGGCCAATGGATAAAAAGCATATGTGAGAAAAAGAAATGCAAAAAGGCAAAATGGCTGTCTGAGGAGGCGTTACAAATAGCTGATGCAATAAGAGAAGCTAAAGGCAAAGGAGAAAAGGAAAGATATTCCCATTTGAAGGCAGAGTTCCAAAGGATAGCAAGGAGAGATTAAAAAGCCTTCCTCAGTGATCAGTGCAAAGAAATCGAGGAAAATAATAGAATGGGAAAGACTACAGATCTCTTCAAGAAAATTAGAGATACCAAGGGAACTTTTCATGCAAAGAATATAAGACAGAAAAGGACAGAAATGGTATGGACCTAACAGAAGCAGAAGATATTAAGAGGTGACAAGAATACACAGAAGAATTATACAAAAAAGATCTTCATGACCCAGATAACCACGATGGTGTGATCACTCACCTAAAGTCAGACATCCTGGAATGTGAAGTCAAGTGGGCCTTGGGAAGCGTCACTATGAACAAAGCTAGTGGAGGTGATGGAATTCCAGTTGACTATTTCAAATACTAAAAGANACTTCACTTTCACTTTTCACTTTCATGCATCGGAGAAGGAAATGGCAACCCACTCCAGTGTTCTTGCCTGGAGAACCCCAGGGACGGGGGAGCCTGATGGGCTGCCATCTATGGGGTCGCACAGAGTCGGACACAACTGAAGTGACTTAGCAGCAGCAGTCAAAACTATGGTTTTTCCAGTAGTCATGTATGGATGTGTGGAAAAGGAAATGGCAACCCACTCCAGTATTCTTGCCTGGAGAATCCCATGGACAGAGAAGCCTGGCAGGCTACAGTCCATGGGGCAGCAAAGAGTCAGACACGGCTGAAGCGACTAAGCATCCATGGATGTGAGAGTTGGACTATATAGAAAGCTGAGTGCTGGAGAATTGATGCTTTTGAACTGTGGTGTTGGAGAAGACTCTTGAGAGTCCCTTGGACTGCAAGGAGATCAAACCAGTCAATCCTAAAGGAAATCAATCCTAAATATTCATTGGAAAGACTGATGCTAAAGCTGAAACTCCAATACTTTGGCCACCTGATGCGAAGAACTAACTCATTTGAAAAGCCCCTGATACTGGGAAAGATTGAAGGCGGGAGGAGAAGGAGACAACAGAGGATGAGATGGTTGGATGACATCACAGACTCGATGGACATGAGTTTGAGTAAGCTCCTGGAGTTGGTGATGGACAGGGAAGCGTAGCATGCTATAGTCTGTGGGGTCACAAAGAGTCAGACACGACTGAGCAACTGAACTGAACTGAAAGAGCATATTATGATCCTTCATGTAATTATCATTTTCCATTCGCACAGAACGAAGTACACCTACTCTGTGTGAAACAGACAAGCGCTGTGGTAAGAACTAAAACAGCTGCCGTTTCCAGTTCAGAAGTAAAAAAGAAAAACTGTATTTTAAAGAACAAATGGCCCTTTTTCTGTGAAATTACACTTAGTGCCTAACCTCTGGAAATTGTGTAAATGTACAGCTACATGAAATATTTTACTCAGTTTATTTAGCTTGTCTATATACTTCTTCATGTGAAATGCAGGAACATAGCTTCTGTCAGTTCAGTTCAGTTTAGTCACTCAGTCGTGTCCAACTCTTTGTGACCCCATGAACCGCAGCAGGCCAGGCCTCCCTGTCCATCACCAACTCCCAGAATTTATCCAAACTCATGTCCATTGAGTTGGTGATGCCATCTAACCATCTCATCCTCAGTCATCCCCTTCTTTTCCTGCCTCCAATCTCTCCCAACATTAGGATCTTTTCAAATGAGTCACCTCTTTGCATCAGGTGGCCAAAGTATTGGAGTTTCAGCTTCAACATCAGTCCTACCAATGAACACCCAGGACTGATCTCCTTCAGGATGGACTGGTTGGATCTCCTTGCAGTCCAAGGAACTCTCAAGAGTCTTCTCCAACACCACAGTTCAAAAGCATCAATTCTTCGGCGCTGTCACTGGTATAATATTCTACTTGGTTGTTTTCTTATATATCTTCAGTTTTTACCATTAAAAATAATTTTGGATCATTCACAGTGGTTAAAAAAAAAAAAAAAGAAGGACTGGCACTCAGGAGACTGGTTCTAGTCTTACTATGTTGTCTTGGGCTCCCTTGGGCCTCTAAGCCTCTGCTCTTCACCCATAAAACTGGGATAATAGTAGTAACTGCCATGTAAGACTGTTTGAAGATTTAAACAAAGCATGTGGTGTCAAGACATGCCCAGGAGGTGAGCGGGCATGTGGTGAGCGGTCTGCACTCCTCCCCACGGTATTCCTTGTCCCTGACTGTGTTCATTTCCCTCTCTAATCCTGACCATCTTCCAGAAATGCTCCCACCTGGGTGCTCTGGGAAGTCACCTTGAGCCAGCTTAGTCTTCCCTCCCCTCTCCCTCCCCTGAGCCCCAACAGGTCCTCAGCAGAAAACCTGCCCAGCAGGGAGAATCCTCAGTTGTCTCCTGGACCCTCAGCCCAAGCCCAAGGCCAGCGCTGCCCACAGGCCTTCGCACTGACTGCAGCAGTCTGAACGCTGGTTTTGCTTTCTTTAAAACTGCTACCCTAGACTTTCCTTTTGCTTGATTTTAAAACCTATGTTTTCCTCTTGTTTCCACAATTCCTCCTGTTTCCACAACAATTCCACTTCTTGAGGGATGAGTCTCAGGCTGGAGAAGAAGCAAGGAGAGGAAAATGAACGGGGTCGGAAACCTGTCCAGGTCCCAGTTAAGATTGTCAAAGACTCTCACACTTCACCATCCTTTTCTTTGGTTTGACCCCCCAAGAGTGGACGGCAGCCTAGAGTGGACAAAACTAGAGAGGGTAGAGAACTTTGAAGAAAGGAAGCAAACGAAGGGGGGAGGGGTTGTAAATTACTCAGCTTTCTCGCCCTACAATTTCCTGGGTCAGTTCTCTCCAGAGCAATGCAATTATCTCTGTATTTTGAAAAACATCCTTATTTCAACACCAGGAAGCTGGGGTTTTAGAAATCGCACTTCATGAGCTTAGAGGGGTTCAGTTACAATGCCCTGGGGCACAGTGCTCTCCAGGGCGGAGACTTCAACAGGGCCCCCTTCCTGGGAGGTTGCCTCAGCCCCTGTCCTCCTGTTTTGATTTTTAGTTTCCAGTTAACCACTAAAGGGGCTTCCCTTGTGGCTCAGCTGGTAAAGAATCTGCCTGCGGAAGACCTGGGTTCGATCCCTGCATTGGGACGATCCCCTGGAGAAGGGAAAGGCTACCCACTCCAGTATTCTGGCCTGGAGAATTCCATGACTGTATAGTCCATGGAGTCGCAAAGAGTCGGACACAACTGAGCGACTTGCACTTTCACTTTGAGACTTCCCTGGTGGCTCAGATGATAAAGCGTCTGCTTACAATGCAGGAGACCTGGGTTCGATCCCTGGGTTGGGAAGATCCTCTGGCGAAGGAAATGGTAACTCACTCCAGCACTCTTGTCTGGAAAATCCCATGGATGGAGGAGCCTGGTAAGCTACAATCCATGGGGTTGCAAAGAGTTGGACACGACTGAGCAACTTCGCTTTACTCACTTTAACCACTAAAAGAAGTGCTGAAGAATTTACTACCTTGGGACACAGTGTTTATCAACCCAGTACATATGGTTAACTGAAGAGGGTCTTAGGACCTTCCCTCCTCTCTCAAGAGCCCAGGACCTGCTTGAGCACAAGTGCAGCCAGGGCTGGCTCACAGGAATTCTTTCTCTTTCCCTCTCAAGCTAAGAGAAGCCTGAAGGGCACTGGCTTTGACAGATTGAGGAAACTTGATATGTTTGGAGGTGACTCTGACCACGTGTCTGTGATGTGACATGCTGTTTCAGAGAGGGGTGCTTAGGAGCAAGGCAATCTGGTTGAACAACCTGCCTTTGAATGAGTGACTGAAATACATTAATCCTCACAAAGCAAGGGGGAGTTTAAGGAGATTAATATCAGGCTGCTTATAAACACAATCCTCTTGATTTAGGGGGGGAGAAAAATCCCACTGGTGTGCCCTCACTCTGTAATCACCTCACACAGTCTCCCTAGGCACGTACGCACCTGAGCAACGTTTAGAAGTTGTTTTCAAATCTCAGTCTCAGATTATTCTCCTAGATTCACACCAGACAAACACTTCTGCTTCTCACGAGTTCTGTGATGTCCTTGTGCACACTCCCCCACAACAAGCAGAAACACTCCCTGGGTTTTCCAGGAACCGATGACCAGCCCATTCTTGCTTCTAACAGTATGAGATCAAGCCATACGTGTTCTTCATCATTTTCAAGAAGTGTATTTCAAAAATACCAACTCCGTGTTTAAAATATTTTAAAATCTCACAATAGCAAAAGATTAGAATAAATGTAGATTCAGTCTATCACTAATGGAAACCATAACCACTTCTTTAGGGGAGCATCAATACAGGTCAAATTTCTTCCTTCAAAAAGGCCTTAATAAAGCTCCACAGGACACTCTAATATTCCTTGTATTACAATTCACTCCACTTTCCCTCAAAGAGATAAATTAAGCTCTAAGAAAACTAACAAAACTAACTAGTTAAGAAACCGAAAGGAATCTTAACTCCTAGATTAGATGATCCTCGGCCATTACAAACTTCTGTAAACTAAAAAACTTTTTTCATTTGGTAAAATGTGTTTTTGAGTTACAATAATTTCCATGTCTAGAAAGGCAGCTCCATGTTAAGCATTCTCTGAATATTTTCCGATTAAGTTTAAAAAATGACAGCTACCTTTATTGATTGTTGGTCTTGGGCCATATTCGAGGGTTTCCAGCCATCCTTGCCCTACCTCCGCCGGCCCCGCCCACCCGCCGGCCCCACCCATCTCGTAGGCCACGCCCACCCCGGCCCCGCCCATCCTCACCTGTCCTCGAAGCACACGGTGCACTTCCAGGCGCGGGTCCGCCTCAGGAACACCCGGCACTCGCTGCACACGCGGTGACTGCAGCCCCGACACACGGCTCCCCGGTTCAGCAGGAGCCCCAGGGGCTGCTGGCAGCGGGCACAAGACTTCTCTCTGTACTCGTGGCTCACGCTCTTCGCGCCTTTCCACCTGAGATGCTGCAAGCGCGTCTTCAGTTTCCTGCGGCCCAGAGGGTTAAGTGATGAGAAACCAGTGAGTGGAAGGAGAGAAACCAGTGAGTGGAAGGGCAGAAGCCAGCCAAACTCCTCCGTGGCAAGGGCCTCAACAGTATGGAGATAGAGAAGGGGCTTTGCATTCCAGCACCCCCGGGTTCTAACACAGCTGTGTGAACCAGGATCTCCTGCCATCTTTCAGAGCAGAGGCTCAGAGGTTTTCTCAGCTGTGAAAGCCTTACCTCCCAGGGTAGCTGTGAGGATGAAATGGCAAAGCATAAACAGTCTGCCTGGCATGGAGGAGTCAGCTGCTGATTTTGTTCTAGGTTCATCCTTTTGTGCCCAAACGGCATTATAATGGTAAAGAAAAACAGTGAAAGAAGAGGGAAAATGCAGGAAAACGGCATCAATTCTAATATTCAAGACAGGGAATGATGTGTAAGTATACAGCATACACACCTGCCGTTGTTAAAAGTGCCCCAATAAAGTTACTTAACTGATGCTATAGTTTTGCTACTATTTTTTATGGGTGGTCGGTTACTTTCAGTTCCTGTTTCTCCCAGGAAGATAGCCCTAGTACAAACGTGTCAGTAGCTCTGTCATGTTTGACTCTGTGTGACCCCATGGACTGTAGCCCGCCAGGCTCCTTTGTCCATGGGATGGATTCTCCAGGCAAGAATACTGGAGTAGGTTGCCATGCCCTCCTCCAGGGGATCTTCCAATCCCAGCGATGGAACCCAGGCCTCCCGCATTGCAGGTGGCTTCTTTACCATCTGGGTCACCAGGGAAGAGCCCTCTTAGTGAAAAGGGGTATTACATTGGACCATAAAACATACCATTAGCCAGAATACTCTTTTATGGACTGTCTCTGTCACTTTTAGAATAGAGAACCTAATCCCGCGAAACAAGCCTCCAGCAAACTTTCGGTACCCTTGGAACAAAATATCCATGTTACTTTGTTGACATTCAAAACGATGCTTCTAAATCACTGAAAGATCTTCCATCACCAAAGAAAACTCTATTTTTCTCACTGTGTTTCTTTCTTTCTTTCTTTTTTTTTTTTTTAGTGGAAGAAAGTGTAAGTACACTTGGACAGCTTTGGGATTACAAAGGAGAGTAGAAAAGGAACATTGTTCCTTCCAGTTCACCCAGAAATTTCCTCTCCTTCCTCAAACACTGGGTGGTCCGAAGTTTTGTTTTATACGTTTGTTTTTCTTGGCAGACTCTGAAAAAGAGTTCTGCCATTAAAAACACAATGAGATCAAAAGCCCATCCCATTTACTTATTTTCTAGATCTCACATTCTCCATCAACATCAATAAACAAAGCATCGTTATATTAAAGATGGATCTTGACAGCTAACAAGAGACACGCTGCTGATAACCTAGCCCTGCTCTGTTAACTGTTAAACTAATGGCAAACAGCCTGCGCCGTTCAGAGACAGAATGAGAAGGTGTTCTCTGTCGACAAATGAGTCTGGGAGCAGGCTGGGCAGGTTCAGACTTTATGCTCCCTGTTTCCTCAGAGCTGGCTGGGAAGCAAAAGTGAGCAAAGAGAAGGCTGGAATGGATGCCAGCAGATCTGTTTCTAAGCTGCTTTCTTTGCGTCTTCAATTACCACCAAAAATAATTTAGGAAAACCCTTAGCTGGAGGTCTTTCCCTTGAAAGGGTGTATGGGAAGTCTGAAGGCTGCCCTTGAATGATTCCTGCAAAGTAGGCAAATGGATAGGCAGACAGACAGCCAACTTATCACACAAAGGCATTGTTTTAAGTGAAAAGAAGGCATTCTTTCCCTGACCATCCCGAAGCTTAGTGACACAGTAAAGGTCACCTCCACCTACAGCCCTTGCTTCAGACTCTTGTCAGACAAGAGGCTGAATGCGGAGCAAACGGCACTAGCTAATCAAGCAGCAAGATGCCAAGGAGAGATGGCCTCCAAGCAGAAAAGGCCAAAACCCGCAAAGAATTCCACCATCTGCACGACCGCCTACCGTATCCGCTCCGCCTCCGTGTTTTGAACCTCCTGGTCCCGATACAAAACCTGGAGGATCACTTCGCGTTCAGACTCCTGGAGGGAACTGAGGCTGACTTGGTGGGCCATTTCCGTCTCTTCTCAGACCCACGTTGAAGTTCTACTCCATGGCCGTGCGTCCCAGTCCCGTGGATGGGCTCAGAGCCCAGCGACAGCCCCACGTGCTTTGAAAGCACTCCCTCTCCTATTTCATTGGCAAAGGTGTTGCTCGTAGCTTTTATCCTCTTTTTAACTGTCACTCTTCTCGGGAGAAAAAAGTTCCAAGAAGCTACCCCTCTGTTGGAATCATCACTCCCAGAGCCTCATGCCATCTGCAGAGCCTTCTCCCCAGGTCCTGCCGCAGCCTCTGACATCCGGCTAAGTCAGAAGCATATCTTTTTTCTGAGGTTTTTGCCAGAGATTGTTATAAATTACACAGATAATTTCTGCATAAGCAGAAGTAATCCCCAATCTGAGGGAATTTACAAAGAGCAGTAAGAAGAGTATTCAGTGACACAGACATTAACCTTTCTCTTCATAGGTTTACAGGTAGCACTGATGATAAATACCTGCAGAAAAAGACAACAAAAATAGCATCATTTTTCCAGGCTTACGTATCTCTGCAGCTTTAGTCCAGAAAAGACAAAATGTTCTACAGACAGATCTTTGCATTTTTTGCTGTGATGATAATGTAAGATTTTAAGTTTTATTAAATTGGACTTTTCATGTTTCTAAAGCCTCAAACTTCCACACTTGAATTTTTCTGATATGAATTCTGTATCCTGAGTGATTAGAGGCATGAAGGTCTATATTTAATGTGCTATTGTTTAGTTGCTAAGTCACGTCTGACTCTTGCAACCCCATTGACTGCAGCCTGCCAGGCTCTTCTGTCCATGGGATTTCCCAGGGAAGACACTGGAGTGGGTTGCCATTTTCTCCTCCAGTATTGAATGTACATCATCCTAATTGAAAATACTTTAGGATATCTACAACTTCATCTGTTAACTGTAATTTTTACAATTAACTTTAAAACTAAAAAAATGTTTACTCAATTAAGGATCTATGAAGGGATATCACCACAACCTCAGTCTATCAGTTATTTGTGGTCTTTAACGGTTTTTAGCAATGGCCTTCTACACGGGCTCTCATTTCTGGTGAATACGAGTTGACAGGTTCTCCACTCCTACTTACTTTTTCCATCAGTGATGCTAGACACACAGCACCTTTGATCTGTTTTTCCCCCAACCAAGATGGTACTGAATTGATAAAAACATGTCAGTGAAAAACAGAAAATGCAGATCTAATTAGTGTACTTTCTACCGTGTCATTTTATTATCAAATTTACATGAATTCGTTAGTAATAAGATGTCCCTTCAATGCTTTGGAAGCTAAACTCCTTTTGTTCAGCATCAACAGAAATTCACATTCTATTAATTTATGATCCATAGCAAATCGGTGAAAAAGAGGTTAATAGAGCCCTAAGGATCATTCTCTTTAAGCAGAGATTCTTAACTTTTCTTTTTTAATCTCTGGTCATCTGGTGAAGCTTCTGTATTAAAATGCATACAATAAAATACATTATAACAAAGGAAATCAATTATACTGAAAATTTTAAAATTATAATAATATATGTGTCCAGGGATGTATGAAATCTAGTAGTGATCTAACAGTGACTGTAATTTCAGAGTAGCAATGATTGCAAGCAATACTGAGATATCTGCAACAAACGATGTGGAGACCATAAGTCTTGCTAACTCTACTGTGGTTTGTGACGAAATGCTAAACTTTAGTTACAAGTCAATGAAAATTAAGATATAATTTTTTTCATGTCCCAGTTCATGGACCTATAGGCTCAGGACCCTTGGCTTAAGGATCCTCTATTTGTCAGTTTCTCTTTTGCAGGTGGGGCTACACTGGTGGCTCAGTGGTAAAGAATCTGCCAGCAAGGCAGGAGACTCGGGTTCGATCCCTGGGTCAGGAAGATCCCATGGAGGAGGAAATACTGGAGCAACCCACTCCCGTGTTATTGGACAGAGGAGCCTCATGGGCTACAGCCCATGCAGTTGCAAAGAGTCAGACATGAGTGAGTGCACAAACTATCGTAGGATAAGCTTAAAACAGTTGGCCCAACCAAACTGCGGAGACTACATGAGGAGGAGGGAAGCCCGGGCTGCCAGGGGATGGTCCTGGCCTCCGCTCTCCAAGCAAGCATTCCTGAGTGCCTGCTCCCAAAAGCCTCCTCTATAGACGGCAGGAGAACCACGAGAACAAGGACTCGGGCTCCAGCCTCAGCAGAGTCAAGACCTCCTCCCTCCTAAGGTCCTGTTTCCAGGTGAACAGACGGAGCAGCAGAGCTTAGCTCCCCGAGGCTCTGGGTCTCTGGGGAAGAAGAGATGCTAGGAAACAGCTTGTAATCAAGTCCTAAGTGGGAAAGTGTCACCAACTTCGTGAGCCTATTTCTTCTAAATGCATTCCTGGGTTTTTGTTGCTTCTCTCTCATTTCTAACCTATTAACCACATTACTGAATCAAGTACTGTCCTGTCTGTCTGATTCCCAAGTATTTTAAGTGCAATTTTTGCACTTGGCTCAAAACACACCGTCTATGCACTGAGCTTTCTCTCCATGTGGCCTTTGGGCTCAGGTGTCTGGCCCTGGTCCTCGGCGCCACCGGGAGGCGGGACCGGTCAGCACTAGGCTGGAAATGAGGACTCCTGGAGTGGTGTGGTCAGTGTTCACTCCTGCAGGTGGCCAGGCCTCTACCCAGTCCAGACACACAGGGTTTGGTTGTTTAAAAACGCTCCTGCTCTCTACCCAAAACCCTTGCCTGTGGCCTCACACGGGCCTCCGCAGGTTTGAGTGGGCACTCTTTCTCCCCCTAGTGGCCATCCCCTGCTAGTTACAGAAAAGTCAAATTGAGTTGGTTTTCGGAAACCATCCATCAGCCATTCGTTAATTAAATATTGATCAAGCATTCAGCAAGTGCCAGACACTGTTTAAGTGATTACGGTACAGGAGTTAATGACTGATAAGTTACACCCTACCCCATTTCTAACAATACGATGTATGCTCAGTTGCTTCAGTCATGTCTGATCCTTTGCAGCCCCATGGACCGTAGCTCACCAGGCTCCTCTGTCCATGGGATTCTCCAGGCAAGAATGCTGGAGTGGGTTGCCATTTCCTACTCCAGAGGATCTTTCCAACCCAGGGATCAAACCCATGTCTCTTGTGTCTCCTGCATTGGCAAGTGGATTCTTTACCACTAGGGCCACCTATAAAAGCACCCAGGGGACAGTTAAAGTCAGAGAAACAGTATCAGCCAGAGTGAAAAGGAGCAGATGATTTCTACCAGGAAACTGCAGTGAAACAATCACTGTACTTGAGCACTGAGGCTGCCCTGGTGGCTCAGAACAAAACAAAACCCCAAATCAAAGTGGTGTATATAGTTCTGATAAACCAAAAGAAAACAAAGGCATTCTCAAGGTGTAAAGGTCATGGAACAAAAAGGTAATGAATGATCTGAGCAGTGATTTGGCAGAGATGCAAAACTGTCCTTCATGTATCATCATTATATTGATTTCAAATTAACTAAGGATAGGGCTTGTTGTTGTTGTTATTGTTATTCAGTTGCCAAGTCATGTCCGACTCTGCGACCCCATGGACTGTAGCACATCAGGCTTCCCTGTCCATCACCAACTCCTGGAGCTTACTCAAACTCAGGTCCATCGAGTCAGTGATGCCATCCAACCATCTCATCCTCTGTCGTCCCCTTCTCCTCCTGCCTTCAGTCTTTCCCAGCATCAGGGTCTTTTCCAATGAGTCAGCTGTTTGCATCAGGTGGCCAAAGTATTGGAGCTTCAGCTTCAGCATTAGTCCTTCCAAAGAGTATTCAGGGTTGATTTCCTTTAAGATTGACTGGTTTGATCTCCTTGCTTTCCAAGGATAGAGCACCAAATTGTAATTCACTGAAAGCCTTTCAAATACACACCCAAACATGGTGCTTTCTGAGGTTCCCAGCTGATGCAGTATAAAGCTTAGAGAACTAGAGGTATGTCTGTGCAGTGTTTGTCTGAGTTTTTCTTCTTGACTTTGAGAGATTTTGACTCTGGCTTCCATAAACCTTCAGTCATTCAAGCACATGGTTGTAACTACAATGAGGAAATACTTCTATTATTGGATTGAAATGTACATTTTTCCTTAACTTGAAGGATCTGTGTCCAAACCCCCTCTATACAGAGTGACTTTTTGAATTGATGCAATCAGGACTGCATAGAGAACACCCCAGGATCATTCATGTGACAAATAGATTCAAGGGATTAGATCTGGTAGACAGAGTGCCTGAAGAACTATGGACAAAGGTTCGTGACATTGTATAGGAGGTGGTGACCAAAACCATCCCCAAGAAAAAGAAATGCAAGAAGGCAAAGTGGTTGTCTGAGGCGGCCTAACAAATAGCTGAGAAAAGAAGAGAAGCAAAAAGGCAAAGGAGAAAGGGAAAGATATATTCATCTGAATGTAGAATATCAGAGAATAACAAGAAGAGATAAGAAAGCCTTCTTAAGTGAACAATGCAGAAAAATAGAGGAAAACAATAGGATGCGAAAGACTGGAGATCTTTTCAATAAAATTGGAGATACCAAGAGAACATTTCATGCAAAGACGGGCACAATAAAGGAATAGAAATGGCAAGGACGTAACAGAAGCAGAAGAGATTAAGAAGAGGTGGCAAGAATACACAGAAGAACTGTACAAAAAAGCCTTAATGACCCATGATGGTGTGGTCACGCACCTAGAGCCAGACATCTGGGAGTGCACAGTCAAATGGGCCTTAGGAAGTATCACTATGAACAAAGGTAGTGGAGGTGATGGAATTCCAGCTGAGCTATTTCAAACCCTAAAAGATGATGCTATTTAAGTGCTGCACTCAATATGCGAGCAGATTTGGAAAACTCAGTATCCAGAAACCTAGGAGGATGTTTTCTCTTTGATTTCCAGTGTCCTCCCAGTGTTCCAATTGACTTGGTGGCTTAGACCTTCCACACGTTTGAGCCACAGGCGTTTCATCTTATTGGGATTCATTTAGGGTTTTCAGTGGGGGCAGTCCCATGCTTCCCTCTAGAAATTTGTGGGGTAGTTTTAGTTGTCATGGTGACAAAGAAGTACCTTGCATTCCCGTACAAATATTGGTTATCTTACCAGATAACTAGGGAAAAGATATAATTATCTGATAATAGAATTTAACTCACAGAAACACAAAGTATATTTTGCAGGGTTTTAATATACTGGGTTTTCCAGAATGAAGCTATTGTGTAAACTGAGGGAAGACTGTACCTGATTTCATTTAGAATTGCTTACCATTTCAGAAAGTGGCACCACATAGGGCAGCATGACTTGTATTAATAGTATTTGAATCACTAATGCTACAATACTGTTAAGGATCTGCATTTGTAGATGCGAATCTACAAATCAATGTGATTCTAGGTATGAGAACATCTGACAACTTCACTATGTCTTTTAATGTAGTTTATATTGAGAGTCCCTTGGACTGCAGGGAAATCAAACTAGTCAATC